TTTACCTGAGGCAGCTGTCTGTCTCCTCCCCTGAGGCGACTCATGCTCTTCTGGAAGAAGGAGTGGATCTCAGCCTTCTCCACAGAGGTGGTCATGTCCATGGAGTCGAGTGAGCGGGCGTTGTCGTCGCAGCGTGTCGAGAGAAGGTGAAGCGACGACGGGCGTCTGCTGCCTCTGGGACAGGAAGTGCAGGAGAGTGAGCCACACGATCGGTCCTGGAGGGAAAAAAAAAAAAGAATAATGCAGACAGGAATGAGAATTTAAAGCAGAAGGACGCGGTTTGAGCAATACAGAAAAACACAGCGAGGGCATGGACAGAAAGAAGAGTATTCACCTGACTCGCTGTGGTGTTGTGAGATGTGTTTTTTGTTCCAAATGATTGGGCATGTTTGCTGGTGCGGTCCTTCTTTGCATCGACAGCTGCATAGTACCTGAAAAGGAAACCCCAAAAAAATGTTTTAAGATCATTCTGGTGAGGTTTTAGTCGCAGCGTAACTTAAGCTACAGATGAGAGGAAGCTGCACCCTTTAGTGAGGAAGTTGCCCACAGCGTCCACCAGCAGGAACATCTCTTTCTGAGTCTTGGTGCTGTTTCCAGTGTACAGATAATGCTCCAAAGGCACGGGTCTCTTCATCGTGCTGATCACGTAAATGTGCTTCTTCTTTATCCGACTAAGGAAACAGAAAGATGGGGAGTCAATAAATCAATTAAGAGTAAATCCTCAAACAAGAACAAATAAATATCCACATCATGTCAAAGCTGGGGCTGCGTGGTGGTCACGGCCAGAAGCTTCCTGTTGAACAGGAGCCTCTCTGTGGAGATTCATGTTCTTCCCGTGCATGCGTGGGTTCGCTCTGGGTTCCTCCCACAGTCCAGATCCGTTTCTGGGACATCAGCGCAGCGTTGCTCAACCATGACACATCACAGGAGAACTACGAGATCCCGCGGGAATAAAGAGAAAAACATGCAAACAACACGTTGCTTTGTCTTTCTGAGGATGCTTTGTTGTTCACTCGGTGTCTGTTTTGAGGTAATGTTGATAAAGTGATGAAAAATACGATCGTGAGTCCGTATATTGTGTTTTATTTTGAAATTGACCTAATGCTCTGTGCGTTTCCTTGTCTGACTTGCCCGGGCTGTCATATTCTGTCCAGCTTGACGCGTGCCTGCAGCGCACTCCGGCGAAAAATGCCAATGACAGCTGGGATCGGCTTCGGCTCATATTGCGATCATGATGAATTAGGATTTAATCATGCAGCCCTAATTTTAGTTTGAAAACAATACAGGAAGTGTTATCTTTGTATAACAACATGCAGCTAACTTAAAAGGAGATGATTATCCAATAAGGAGTTGAAAATATGAACGGTTAAAGGATCAAACAGAGAGAAACTCAGGACCCGCCTCTCACACACGTCACCGTCGCTGACAGAAATACTGTAAAAGCAATGAATTAAATCAAACCATGGTTTTTAAATCCTCTTCAAGGTTCTCTTACCCGATCCATTCACTGAACTCCAGAGCGTTTGGCACTGTGGCGCTCAGGAGGATGATACTGACGTGATCGGGAAGCATAATCAAAACCTCCTCCCACACGACGCCTCTCTGAGGAAAGAAAACAAAAAGACGGTAAAGGAGGAGAAGAGAACTGTCACTCTGTCCTTTTTTTATTAAGTTATGATCGAGATACGGAGAGCGGTCTCTGACCTCAGCATCGTTGATGTAATGAACCTCGTCAAAGATCACCCACTCCAAGTCTCTGATGACCTCTGAACCGTTGTAAAGCATAGACCTGAGAGAGAGCAGGAAGACGTTCACTCTTTGGAGTTACAAAAAAAAACAAAAAGATGGATGACATTCATAACCTAACAGCTGAGGTACCTGAGGATCTCAGTGGTCATGATGAGACATGAAGATTCAGGGCTGAGCTGGACATCTCCTGTTAAGAGTCCCACATCGCTGAAGGTGTTTTTAAAGTCTCTGAACTTCTGATTGGACAGGGCTTTAATGGGAGAGGTGTAGATGGTCCTATCAAAACAAAAAACAACAAAAACAGAATCAGAAAAAGTTACAGAGGGACAAATGTTGCAGTCCTTCATATCCCTTTAGGTGGTATTTGTTCTGGGTATCACTGATCTTGTCTGTGTGTAGCTTTTATGTTTTGAATATTTTTGTAAATGTGAAATTGTGCTTATGCTACATTTTTGACCAGAACTTCCTAGAAGAAGAAGAATACCATTAGTCTTTTTCTTGTAATGTAACTTAGCTGTGTTTTATCCAATACTGACTTTAAGTTGAATTTATTCATTAGAAACTCCAAAGACAATCTTCTCTCTTGATTATGAAACTGTGTTAAAGCTTGTTGTATCTCTGTATGTATTTGTATTTGAATTTTCCTCTGGATCAATAAAGTACATATCTATCTATCGTTAAAACTTGTAACCCATGTTTGTGCAGAAGAAGAATCAATTAGTACCAAACGCTCACCTCGTCATGTGTTTCTGGGAGAGCGCGATGGCGTACTCGGCCACCACTGTTTTGCCAGCTGATGTGTGCGCGGCCACAAACACAGAGTCGTGGTTCTCCAGCCTGAGCACAGCCTGCTTCTGGAACGTGTCCAACTCAAACGGCCACTAGAGGGAGGAGCGGAAAGACACAGGTCAGGCACTGCAGGAAGTGATTATTAAGTGATGATTAATGACAGAGAGAGAGAGAGAGAGAGAGAGAGAGAGAGAGAGGAGAGAGGAGCATTCAACACACTACTCCAGTCTACCTGGATGATGTTAGAATACAAACCTTGAAAGCTGGGTTGGGGATGCGTTTATAGAAATCATCACAGGGGGAAGAAATGTTGACAGGGATCGCCCACTTTTTATTTTCCTCCGAGTTTTCTTTTGGCTTTGATTTCTCCTCTTTTCCTTTCTCTGAGGGAGAGGATGACACGGCGTCCTGAAGACAGAACAGAAGGAGAACCAGATTTCAGCTCCGAGAAAACACCACAGCTTGTATGTATTTTATTTGTATACTATTTGATCAAATTCAAACAAGTTTATTAAGGGAGAACGGTCTGGTCAACTGTTTTATTTCAGTAAACCAGACTCTCTGAGTCTCATTAAAACAATCCAATGATAAACTACACACATTCTGATTCATCTGAAACATTTAGGACAGAAAAAGATCAACTATCTTATTTTAGCATGATGATGCCTATGTGGACTGTGTTTCTTTTTTCTTTATTGGACCTTTGTGATCACCACACAGACAGTCCTGGACATCATGCACTCTGTTTTCAAACCTTTTCTTTCAGAGAGAGGAGAACATTATGAAGCAGTTTTTTTTCCTGCAGTACCTTGATGCCCAGCTCTTCGAGGCTGTTTGTTCTTGGTAGTTTGGGTGCGTCTTCCCTCCCTTTGGCTTCCTCTTCCTCTTTCTCCTCAGGCTGTAGATCAGTGATGTAATCAAATGTAGACAGGAGGGACATGAGATTGACCTCTGCTTTTGCTAGCTTGGCATCTTCCAGACACAAATAAAACATAAAGTTAAAAACGTATCTTATACACACTGTAGGATTTCTTTTAGTACAAGAAGTTATGACAGCTTACTTTTGTCAGTGAAGTCCATCCCAGCTTTAAACCCAGGAGGACTTGAAGTAAATCTATGAGAGGAATAAAGTCAAATTCAACTATTAGGAGCTGAAATACACAGAAGCCTCATCATTTCACAACACTAAGATCAAAATTATAAGATCACCTTTCTCAAAGTCGATGTCTTCCTCCAGCTCGGATTTCTTCTTGATTTGGTCCAGACTAAGCTCCTCCATTCCTCCTGTGAGCACACATTTAAACATGATTAGAAAAGGATGAATACCACGCTGTAAAACATCTCCATTAAAAGACAGGTCATGTATCTTATCGTCTGTCTCACCGGGGAGGAAAGGGTAGTTAGTGTTGCTTCCTCTGAGGCTCTCTGACGGAGGTCCAGGTTGTCGTTGAAATGAAAGCGAGTTCTTTGCTGACATGCCGGTGTTCTCCAGTAACACCTGAAGGTGAATAAAGAAATGTTAGTCTGAGGATTGAACCACCCATCTTCCAGTCGCATGCATATCTAGTGTAGTTATAAAAACACAGCACAGACTGTAACCTGTTTTTTTTTTTGTTTGTTTGCTGATTTATTTCTCGATAAATATAAATATAAATACATTTTATCATGAAATATCAGAAGAGTCAAAATATCCTAAACTTTTTTCCAAAGTTGAAGTCTACATTTTAATTCCCCTTTTTGATCTGACAGACAGTGCAAAGGCACCAACATGGGAAATAAAGAAAAGCAGGAAATATATTCACATTTTAGAAGCTGGTACGAGCACGTTTTTGTAATTTCTTTTTTTTTTTTAAGATTTATTTTTGGGCTTTTTGTGCCTTTAATTGAGAGACAGGACAGAGGATAGAGTCGAAATCAGGGAGAGAGAAAGGTATGACATGCAGGAAAGGAGCCACAGGCTGGATTTGAACCTGGGCCGCCCGCTTGGAAGACTGTAGCCTCCATACATTGGGCGCACGAACTAACCACTGCGCCACCACACAGCGCACCACGTTTATGTATTTCTACTCAGAAAAATTACCAAAAACAAGACTTCAAACATGTTAAACTTATTTTTTTCCTCCTCGTCTTTTATTTTGGAGACATAGGTCGCTCAGCTCCAGGTAACATCCCGCCTTAAACAACAGTGAAGTAAAGACAGTGTTTGTGATGTACCTCTGTGAAGTCCAGCAGCATGCCTGTGGTTGGATCTCTGACGACAGAGAGACCGGAGTGAAGAGTAGACGGAGTGCATTTGAGTAAAGAGTCGACGTTAACTTCTCTCTGAGTCACCCTGATGAGGACAAGACCAAAACAAAAGGGTTTTTATCAAACAAATAAGACATTAAAATAATCATACTTCTGCATATTCTCAGGAAAACATTAGCTTTAAAAGTTACAACATTAAATTGTTTAGAGGAAACACATACTTGAGAAACTTCTGGAAGGCAAAGTCAGTGTCATGTATAGGAAGCCAGGCCGGGTCCTGTAAAAACTGTTTCTCTACTTCTTTCTCCAGGCTCAGGCTGGTGGGAGGTAGACCGTGGGGAGCTGGGGGGGAGAGATACAGTCAGATATTCAGTAACATTCAGTAAGTGAAGGTTAGATTCCTATGTTAATGTTTGTTTGTGTTTTCTCCCCACAATGATCCCTTCCAACTACAGTAAATCTGAAAAAAGTCCCCCCAAAGAAAATCATAAAACAACAAAAAGGTGCACAGGTTTACGGGTGTGTTTTTTAACCACAGCTCACTTCTAAAGCACATGTTTGTTACTTTAACAACAAGAAGAAGCATTCGACTGATGGGGACATTAATGAGAAGAATCATCAATGTTGACAAATAAATAAAAGAGGTGTAAAAGCTAAGCAGTGGTGAAACAAGCATTTGGATGTTTTACATAATAAGCTACATAAAACTCGACAAGTTAAACACCTACAATGAAACACTTCATAAAGAAATAGAGCAATGGAAATATCAGCATTGGGTGTCTCTATAAAAACTGTATTTTACAATACTACTACTTTACTAAATCCTCCTTTTTCCATTTCCCATCTGCACAGCTGTCCCAAGAGTCAGCCTCTAGTTGGACACTTTAATGATCACCTCAATTACTTACATCACACCTTTAATTTAATGTTTGCACTGCCTGTTATTTAATGTCTGTTTTTGATAAATCTGCTTTTTTAAACATTACTGTACATATATAAACAACTCAACTTCAGGAGGTCAACACTTTTTTTATTCTTATTTTTTTATATTCAGGTCTAATTACAGATTTTTTCTTCAACTGGTTCTTGTTTAAATGGCACATATATTTTTATCCCTGCACTTTTAATTGCACAGTTTAAGTTTGATTCATCTAGAGGTATTCTTTAAATCTTTTCTTCAGGTTAATATATATGTATGGGGGGGGGGCGTCGGTTTTGTGGTTAATTTGTAACAAATGTTTCATGTCATGTCTTTGTAAGCCTGCTGGATGCTTTGAATTTCCCTCTGGATCAATAAAGTATCTATCTATCTATCTATCTATATATATGATAATATTGTTGATGCTACCTAGTTTACTGTTGGGTAGTTTAATGTATAAAATATATCACATTTTATTAACCAATTACATTTAGAGTAATAAAAGAATATAGGCTAGTGCGACGTTCAGTGTTTATCTTTGAAATGCAGTGAAAGAAGTAAAAAGCAGACTGAATCCAAAAAATACAAGATGTATTCAGACTGTATTATAGTTATTTATCAATTCTGCGTCTTTTCTAATCTCTGTGTTTTTGTCCTTGTGTTGTATTTATGAATATTATTTTAATAATGGTATAAAGATGATGCTCACACACACCACACAGTCCAATCTGCACTTTGACACTGTTTACATTACAATCTTTACATTTCACTGCACATCTGTATGAGCATGTGACAAATAAAAAATCTTGAACATGAACATCTGTGGGACTTGAATAAAAAGGTGAAGTAATGTCAGTGATCCTGCAGCTCACCGACCCTGCAGCTCACTCACCCTGCAGCACACCGACCCTGCAGCTCACCGACCCTGCAGCTCACCGACCCTGCAGCTCACTCACCCTGCAGCTCACTCACCCTGCAGCTCACCGACCCTGCAGCACACCGACCCTGCAGCACACCGACCCTGCAGCACACCGACCCTGCACGACCCTGCAGCACCGACCCTGCAGCACACACCCTGCAGCCACCACCCTGCAGCTCACACCTGCAGCACACCCTGCAGCTCACTCACCCTGCAGCTCACTCACCTGCAGCACACTCACCGTGCTCTGTGGAGGTAAAGGCTGACAGCCAGGGGATGTGTGATGACCTCAAACCTGCCAGAGCATCCCATCTCCAGCAGGGACAGGGCAGCTCCAAGGGGCCCGCGGGAGGCACATCTGCACAGAGAGGAGCAGAAATAACTAAATGAATACAGAGAGCCTGAACGCAACACAAACAAACAACTTATGAATGAAGACACACCCCAGGAACCATTATCAACGTTTTACACTTCTGCAGGAGGTCAAAACAAACCGAAAACATATTACTGCAGCCTTTAGCAAGAATCCAGATTAGTGTGATTAGTCTGATTAGTCTGATTAGTCTGATTAGTGTGATTAGTGTGACCCATGAGGAGCTGAAAGGAGCCACATCATCACAGAAGCTGCAGGATTGGAGCATGCTAACAGGAAGAAGAAACTCTTTGACACTTATTTAAACCAAAAACTGTCTGAATGTAAACAGACTTAAACTTACTCATTCTCATTCGTCCATGTCCACACTCAAACTGAAGCTAAAAAAAAAAAGTTGCCACCAACGAGTTGTCTGCTGCTGTCGCCTCGGAAGTTGCCAAAATTGACAAAAGCGGAAGTGGCTACTACAAAAAAAGCTAACTAGATAATCAGAAATAAATAAATAAATCAGAAACAAATCTGTTTGTCTCCCATTTTCGCTAAACTACCCCAAAACACAGTGTTATGTGTTATATATTTACGGAGGGTGCGCTGTTGTTGTTGCTTTGCTATCAGTTCACGCGTTAGAAAGCGCCAGAGTACACTCCTACGTCATCACTCCGCGTCTGTGTTGTTGCTGCGCTACAGGATCGTCACACATTTTGGTGAGCGAATGAATAAACAAGTAATGCAACAGGAAGTGCATTTTTATCACACTGAGAGGATAGTTTTTAGTTTCCTCGCATGAATTTATCACATATTTAAGCTCTGAGAGTGAATTAAATATTGTTTTGGTTTCAGGAAAGCGACTCTTAGCTGACCGACCTGACGAGGCGACCTGACCGAGGCTACCTGACCGAGGCTACCTGAGGCACACGGGGGTTTAACAGTAAACCAGATCATTTATCTTTTTTTCTGTGATGTTTAGCTTGATATTTATTGATGAATTGATGGATTAATGTGTGTTTCAGGTGTTTCTGTCATGGTGGTGTTTCGAGTTCTCTGACGGAGGAGGAAGTTTACAAAAGAAATATGCGAAATTAAAGAAAAAGGTAAATGATTGACAGCTGGCTGCCTTCATCATCCCCTCGTTTACTCACACATACAAGACATTTGATTGACTGGGCTCTCAATGTTCAAAAGTGTAACATCAGATATTGATACAGGAAATCTTTCTTACTGAAGTCCATAACTCTGAACAACAGCTCACCTGTCATCATGATAATATCTGTCTCTCCATACTGTCATCTGTTCTGCACATGTTACATTTACAAATTATCCCTGCACTCATGTTCACTTCATTTGTCTGTCTACTCACTGTTATATTGTATAGTTTCTGCTGATAATATGTCTACACTCATGCACTTTAACTTCTGTCAATACTGTTCATTTACAACTCTGTTTTTGCACATTTACATTCAATCTTTTATATTTAAGACTAGTAATGTTTAGTTAAATCCTGGTTGTATATATTCACATTCTTAGTTTTGATATTTTTAGTGCTTATTTACTTTGTATTTAATATTGTATTGTGTTTAGATTTTCTTATATTGTGTTTAAATTTGCTCATATTGTGAGTTTGGACAACCTGCTGCTGTAACGCCACAATTTCCCAGTTTGGGATCAATAAAGTAATTCTATTCTATTCTATTCTATTCTATTCTATTCTATTCTAAACAGACAAATTAACAAACACTAATATGTACGAGCCTGCATGAGACAAAAGTGCCGTGATGAGTTGTGCAAACGATGCTGAAAACAAAGATGATGAATTATGTGATTATGTTAAAGATGGGTTCATTTTTACAGTATTTACATTAAAGCAGTGTGCATAGATTGAGGTGAGGAGGATAGCAACACATGCATGATGATGATAAGTGAGTGACCATAACATCCGGATGAATAATGGTATTAACATTAATCTGTTAAATGCGTTGTTGTGACATGAAGTCCCATTCTGTTTGATCTTCTCTGTATTTCACAAAAACAAAAAATGATTTCAATCTTTTTCAGAAAAAGGCGCTGCTGGCTTTGAAGAAGCAGAGTTCAACCAACCAGACAAACCAGAGTGGCTTGAAGCGCAGTAAGTGCATATAACTCCCCTTCTATGTATACGGTTAATTCCTCATCATCATATTAACTTTAAACTCACCTTTCTTAAAGCTTTGTCCGACCAGCCTGTTGTTGACACTGCAACAGCTACAGAGCAGGCGAAGATGCTGATCAAGTCGGGAGCCATCAGTGCATCAAATCAGAGAACAAAACTCTGGCTTTAAACGCTCTCGAATGCTGGAGATAAAACTCAAGGTGAGATATTCTCCTGACAATCATTTGTTGACTTGTTTTGTTTGACTTGATTTGTTTAAATGCTGTTTTTTAATTTGCCGCAGGACCCCGAGAAAGGCTCGGTGCCGGCTTTCTTACCGTTCCAAAGAAGTGTCTCTATAGACGAAGAACAACCTGAGGTAAAGTGGATACAAAACATAAAGAAACACAGTTATATTTTCTTTTCTAAAGCATCAATTCATCAGAGATTGAAGTCTATTACATGTTCATGTCTTTCTGTATTGACTGATTTCTGTTGTTCACATTCATGTTGTAGTTGTTTATTAACTTTTTATAAATACACATCTTATATTTTTATGCACATTTACAGATTGAAGTTTTGTTTAAAAATGTTAAAGTTTGAAAAAGTCTTTATAAGGGTTTGAATTGAAAATAGGAAATGTTTTTTTGATGGAATTGTATTTGTGCTTCTCCTAGTCTGGGAAGAGAGCCCAAAGGAAATCTCTGTATGAGAGGTAATGTCTCCACACCACGATGAATAAGCACAACCAACATGTTTAATAAGCTGTGAATTAATGTGTCTGAATTATCCCCGTATGACCTTACAGCTTCGTCAGCTCGAGCGATCGTTATCGAGATGACGACGACGGAGGGAGCGGGGGCAGCGGAAGTGGTGGTCTGCCACCCAGCCGCGAGATGGACAGAGAGCGAGAGCGAGAGCGAGAACCTGAAGTGGATAAAGAGCGGGACAGAGAGAGAGAGAGGGAGAGGGAGAGAGAGAGAGACCGGGACAGGGAGAGAGAGAGAGAGGGGAAGGGACCGAGAGCGGGAAAGGGACCGAGAAAGAGACAGAGACCGAAGCAGAGAGAGGGATCGAGACCGTGAAAGGGATCGGGAAAGAGAGAGAGACGGACCCTTCAGACGTAAGAAAACAAATCTGTGTTGTTCTAAAAGAAGGCTATGCACTTATTTTATTCCTGTAGTATCTTTTGTGCTTCAGAGCCATGCTGTAAAGTAGATGTGTTTGGGGTTTTCAAATAGCAGGCTGGCTAACTAAAATGCCGTTTCCAATGTTTTCCTTGCAGGGTCAGATTCCTACCCCGAGCGAAGAGGTGTGAGGAAGGGGAACACAGTTTATGTTTACGGCTCCGGGCTCACTGAGGAGAGCCTCCGCTCTGCTTTCTCTCAACATGGAAACATCATAGACCTCTCCATGGACAACCCACGCAAGTATGGAACCATTTAACAACTCAATGTGCACACTGCAACATCTCTACCTACTCTTATAAATGCATTCTAACTGTGTTCACATATTAGACTGCTTTCTCCTGTTCAGTTAAATTGTGATTTTTGGTTTTGTTCCACTAGTTGTGCATTCATCACTTTTGAGAAGATGGAGTCTGCAGACATGGCTGTGGCTGAGGTTTGTATCTACCTAATATAGAGAATAAATAGAAAAGAGAGAAAATGAGTGCAGCAGAACAAAGAGCTGTCCAAGAAAGGTTTAGATTTTAAACATTTCCATATTCATTTTTAAATTGTAAGAAAT